TAGTAAGAGAACATCAGAATAGAATAATTGAAAGAGCCATATGTTGAGTGTGGGTGGCTAGAAGGCTATCGACATTACCTTCGAACACACCCTTCAAGAGTACGTCAATTATAGTTTAATATTACATTTATTTTTCCTTTTTTGTATTTTTTCAATCATTCGATAAGATAGCAAGATCAATTTATAGTCTTGTTGTATCATAAATCATCTAGTTTTTCTCATTTAATATTTTTATGAATACTGTTGATAGTTGTGAATAATAACAGAAAATTCACAACTATTCAGAGTCGTATTTAAATTTTATGAAACACATTCTACATAGAAGTGTTGAAATATAGGAGTAAAAAATTTTGATCTCTCACCCTCCTCCAGATATAGATATATGATCACAGATCATATCTCAATAGTGTCTCGTTGTAATATATGAACTACTTCTTTGTTATATATTTTGAAGGATTAAATAAAACAATAGTCCGTAGAAGACTCCTTGTCAATTGGTCTAGATTTTCTTTTGATTTTTTACGTGGCTTTTTCCAAAAGATTTGATCATAGAAGTATTTCTATTAAGTGAAAATTCATTACAATATACTAAATATATCTTATTAACTTTCTTCAATATAAATTTATATTATCAAAATAAAATCGAATAATTCTTATTATTGTTTTTTGTAAATTTATTTGTATTTCCTATTATTAATAGCATATATTGCGCACAGACATAAAAGATAATTAAGTAAATCTATGTGATATTAACAATGTATATATCGAACAAGTAGTTAGTCAATATGTAAAGTTAATAAAGAATTTATAGTTCTATAAACCTTTCTATTTATCGAGAGATATCCCGAGAGAGAAAACTTATATAAATAAATAATGAAAATAGCTATAGTAATGATGTAGGAGCCTTACGTCATTACTGTAATGATTCAGAGGTAGACATGAATAATAAACACCTTCATTTGACTGTTAAATGACGAGCGAAATTGAACTATAATCGATGCGAATCTAAAATCTATTCGAGTTCAGGAAAAACCCTACGAGGTTACAATTTTGCTGTAATTAGCAATAGTAACTACATCGTGTTTTACATTTTAATTCTGTATGAATTGTACTAACAGTTTTTTTCTTATTAAAAAGTAAAGAAAATATTAATATATGAATTTCATCGAGATTATAAAGTCAATTAAACGATAGATATCTGAAAAAAATATTTTTTTTTTTTTGCATACCTCATCAATAATTTCATGCGTTAACATATTTGTTTCATTAATATTTTTATAATTTGTTTGTAATTTTCTTTTAATGATAATATCTATAGCAGGGTACAGACTCATTTGTTGATGTACACGAAAATTTTTATCATTTCCAAATATTGTTTGAATTCGTTGAATATTTTGTAAAGCTTGACCATTTGGAATAAAAAAATTTGTTTCATCAAATGGACGTATTTGCATAAAATTAAAAAAACATATTGTAAGTCCAATAGTTATTAATGAACTTAAAATAAGTATTAACCATGAAAAACGTATTAAAAATTTTGAATAATAATTCCAAAATGTATCAATTTTTTCTTGAATTGAATTCTTTGACATTTGAAATCGATTATTATCTTTGCTAATATTAGACATTGCTCCGTTAAATTCGTTATTTCTAATCTATTTAATAATGATTAAAAAAAAAACAAGAAATCAAATAATAATATTCTTTATATTTTTCTTACTATTTGTATTTCACTCATTTTTATATCTTTTTTCTTCTCTTCTAACTGATATACACGTGGTGGAATGTATAGGAGAAATAAAAGAAAAAAGAGAGATCAAACATTATCTTCTATTCTATTTTTTGAAACGTCGTGGAGGACATAACGGGTTAGATAAGAGTCCGGGTGTTAAATCTTCACATAAACACTTAAATATGACCCATAACGAACTTTCGACGACAAAAAAGAACAATAAATAATACTTATTTCTTTAATCTTAATACTTTTTTTTTTATTTTATATGAAATAACTTCTTCTCTTTAAAATTTCATGCATAGTTTATTAATTACATGCTTCCTGAGTATCATATCTATTTTCTAATGGAAGATTTATGGAGGCGAAAGATAATATTGTATACATAGTGACAGAATATATCTTAGAAAGAAATTTCGAAAAAGCATCAATGACAAAAAAAAGAAAAAAAGAAACGCATAAACTCTACACACATGTCGCCTGTTTGTCTGTCTCCTCTACTCATCAATTTGTATTTTCTATTGTATCATAGAAATATCTTTCAAATGATAAATCAAATGAAACAAAAGCATAATGAGTAAAATATATTCATCAAACAAGACAGAGAACAGGAAAAAACAAGTGTGCCCACATTAGTATCATACGACAAGAAAACATCACGCCATATTCTGTTGTCTTTGTTTTATGCATAGCAAAAAAATTTTCACGTAATTGTAATAAATATCTCAGTTATATAGAGTCACATTCTTACTTACCAATCACTAATAATAAACACGAATACATGAGTGTATTCCATTTGAATGCGGTTACAAGGTCAAATATTTTCTATATAAGAATAAAGCGAGGGAAAAAGAAAAAAAAAGAAGTATATATATATAGTGACCTATCGGTCAGTGCTAATAGACAATTTTTATTCGTTTCTTTCTATGAAGCATTTATTTGACCATACAAAAATAGAATGAAGTGTTTTATCTATTTATTTAATCTAAGGTGGATTTTTTTTTCAGACGAAAAAAAAAATATAAAAGAGATAGACAAAAGAAAAAGAAAATTAATCTAAGCATTTGGAATTGGTGTGCCAGGTGTAGGAAGACCGAATGCACCAATAGCAACACGATTAAAAAAGCTGGAACCTCGTTTTAATTGTTCCTATAAAACAAGAAAAAAGCAAATTGAAATTCGATAATCATAAATTTTCAACAAAAAAAAAAAGAAGTATATAACATACAGTCTTGCTTAATTGTTTATATGCATCTTGCCAATTAGGATAGACAGGCGATATCGGTAGCATACCAGCTCGAAGGCCACTTTGATTAACGGTCATTACCGTTGTTATAACACTTAATGGATAAGTAGCAGTTTGAGCAACAAACTAAAAAAAAAAAACAGATCTTATCAAACATTCTATCATAAGATTAATTCATTGGTGTATTATGCTTGTCTTTTGTTTTTTTTGAATTTAGTTTAACTGAATTCTATATACAGAAGAATTGATTTATCCAATAGTAAACAAACAATGAAAAAATCTATTATATTACATAAATGCTTCGAACTGAATAACCTTGACAGGAAGATATTGTATAGTATATCGGTTGATTTTCTACTATATATTTCTATTTATAGTTTAGACTAATTATTCTTTAAGTGGAAAAAGTACATTACTATACGTTGGAACTTGTATACGAGAATTATTTGACATGATGCATCATTTTTTAGGTCATAGTTGATGCATATGAAGAAAATCTCTACGTTAGAATAACTCGAAAATGATTTAGATCAATAAAATTTACTAGGAGATTTGTTGATCTGGAGTGCTGTATGAAGACGTCAGTTGTCTGATTCTAAGAATTTCAATTGAATTTTCTTCTTGAGATATTTTTAAGATAATTTTAATTCGTTTTGTAGATTATATTGATTTTGAAAAAACTAAGTAGAAAACTTACAGCAGCTAAATATTCATATAATGGTATCATTTCATTTTGTGTAGGTAATTGCGTTTTAAGCATATGAATAAGTACATTTGAAATAATAATAGTGGCTATTTCAAGTAACCAACGAGGTATTAAACCACTATAATTTTACAAAAATTTTAAAAACTTATTCAAAAATTTTACATACACAAAAAATCCACCAATTCCTTGTTTATTATAAATTTCTTGAACATTTTGAAATATATTTATTGATGAATAAACATTTTCTCGACCAATAAATTGTCCCATAGATCGTATTGCCATTACTAATCATAGATAAAAATTAAAAAAAAAATAATTTTTTGTTTTTTATTCTTTTATTCTACCTTGAAATGGATGTGATAATAAAATTCCCCATGATTGACATCGTACTTCTCGTAAAGTTTTTTTTATACAAACATCCCATCTTGGTTTATTGTCATCATTTGATACTGTATGTTCAACAGGTTCAAGAAGCTTTAACAAAAAAATTAATTTTAATTATACTTTTGTTTTTCAAATTTCAATTTCATAATTACTTGATCAACTTTTGTTGTTGTATACCAACAAACTACTTTTGATAAAAGTGTATAACCAAATCCACGATATAAACCCGTAAAACCATCAATTTTATGAATATATTTAACTAAATTTAATCGAAAAATTATTTTTTTTTTTGAAATTAAGATCAACTAACGATATTGAAAAACATTTGGATAAAATACTGCTTCCTTTCCAAATAAAGTTTTTCCACGATAAGCAGGTAATGGTTCATATCCCATCTAAACAAATATATAGAATAAATGTTTTTAAAAATAATGTGTTTTTTTTTCTCTTACCTGCATTAATACTCGTGCATAAGTTAGAGGATGTCCTAAAGCTTGTTGAAATGTTGTTGCTTTTAATACTGCAAATGTTGGATTAACTGAATTACGTGTTTCAGTAGATCCAATTGTAGCTTGTTGTCGAACAGATGTTCCAGTTGAATGTGATAATGTTGAAATTTGATCATCAGTTTGAATATCATCATTCGATGTTGAACGATCCTGAAGTCGGAAAATAAGAATTTTAACAGTCAAAGAAAATGTTGAGAGGGGACAATCGCTCCTTCCTTTCGAAATATTTTTTTGATTTTGCTTAGTAGAAAATGTCTAAAAAATGAATCGATATGATTTCTAATGGACCTAAAAA